CGGCCAGCCACGCAGTCAGTGCGGGGTCAGCCGCGCCGTCGACACCGTCGCCAAACACGTAGCAGTCGACGTACTCGCCGATCTTCGCGGCCACCTTGAGCTTGAAATTGTCGAAGGACCCTGGCCGACAATACGTCACGACATTCGGCAGCATCTCGAGCGCGGCCTTCAGAGACCCAGACTGCACCACCGCGTTGATGTCCGAGCCAGCGTCCAGCGTCGACATCGTCTTCATCATCACGGGGAAAAGCTCATTCGTCTTCGGGTAGAACTGGTCGAACTCTTCCTATGCCGAAGCCCACCACGTTGGAAACAACTCGCTGGGGGGCAGGCCCGCGCATGTCGAGGCTGTCGCGAAGGGCGACGGAGCGGAGGCGAACTGGGCTCCGAGCTGGGCGCGAAAGGATGGCGGGGGGCTCTATGATGGACGGGTCGGCCATTGGGGCGCGCGCGAGGGGGGGCAGAAACCAATCAATGCACGCCGCCCCAATGGCCGCCCCGTCCACTACCCAGGCACCCCGCACATCCACACCCCACTCGAGGCCCACCTGGATCCCCTCCGCCCCCAACTCCTCTCCGGTCACTCCCCCCACCCCTCGCCCCCGCCCTCGCTAGAAACAAATCGCACGGATAAGCTCCTAGCCCCCCCCCGCCCAACTGCCGCACCCCCGACATGCGCGGACAACTGCCCTCGGGCGTTTAACGTGGGCTTGGCCTTGAGAGCAGTGTAGTGCGTCGAGCGCTTCACGGCCAAGTTCAGGTGGCGCAAGCACACCTTCCCAAGCTCCGACGATCTGGCATCCGTCATTGTCGTGAGCGCGTCGCTGTACTCCAGGCACATGGGGTCTGCGATGCACAGCAGCGCTTGCAAGCGCGTAGTCATCGACGAAACGAGCTCGTCGAAGGTCTCATCGTCAGGGCACTTGTCGTCGAGCCAGTCGAGGCACGTGCTGCAGAACGCGACAAGCTTGGACTGCCCGCCCCTGCCAGCCTGGATGTGGTAGGCCAGCGCCTCCGAAAAGAACCCTTCGCAACTGGACATCTTGTCCGAGACGCTACCGTCGCAAGTGATGACCCTTGGGCGCGCCGGCTTGAACTTGTAGTCAACGTTGCCATATGGATGACTCACCTCCCATGGCGCGATGATGTGAAAGAAATCGTTCATGTCCATGTCGGGCAACTTGATCGTCTCTGTAACCTTCGAGGCAACGCCAGGGGGGTCGGCGTCCGAATCGAAAGCTCGGCTGGGCCCGCGGAGCGGAGATGAACACCGCCCTGCGCGCTCGACCGATTGCTGCCTATGACCCACCCCCAGCGTGAACCACTGACCTTCAGCTTCAGCACGTCCATCTTCCACTTGCTCGGCATATCCTCGTCGCCCTTCTCGATGGCACAGAGGAGGTCCTCGAGCGTTTGCTTCGGCACGGTCGCGATGGGCTTCTCGACGAGCCCGCAGATCGCGTCGCAGACCGAGATGTGCTCACGTAGTTTGTCCGCTGTCTCTGAATCTTGCACCGTGGGATTCGACTCCATGATGCTCGCATGCGACTCCTTGGCCCAGCGAAGTTCGCGGCCCATGGCGACGCCTGACCAGCACCTGTTCACGTCCAGAGCGGCAATGCGACGATCGACGAGCTCCTCCACTTCGGACTTCTTTGCCTCGGACACCGCCGACTTGGCTGTGCGGGGCTTCGCTCCTGGGGTCCTCGGCACACCGCGGCCACCCTCGCCCGTGAAGACGGTCCGCGAGCAGGCCATCGCCGTCGGGTTCAGCATCGGGCCAGCCGAAACAGCAACAGCTCCACCAAGCTGCGACCCAGCAGCCGCTTGGGCACCGCTCGGGCTGCCGAACTGGCTCGAGTCGTGCTCCTCGGCAAGCTGGCGCGCCACCTTGAGCTCCTCTTGCGCCTTCCTGTAGGCATCCCCCTTCAACCTCAAGGACTCCAAGGTATGATTCTCCGTGCGCGCCTTCACGCAGACGGTCTTCATCTTGCTCTCCTGCGCAATTGCCTGAGAGGGGTCCACTGCGCAACTCGCGCAAGGATGCCCGACAGCGCCCCTGGCCCCGATCGCTACCCCCATCCCCTGAACGAAGGGGGGGATGGGGAAGGGAGGAGCGGGCGGAGTAAGAGGGGGGGACAAGGTGACGAGGGAGGAGGGTGGGGAGGACTAGGACGACAAGAAAGATATGGAAGAGGGTCAAGAGAATATGCACCAGCAATTAGCAGGGCCAGGTCCAGAAGGGGGAGGAGGATGAGCGGCGGGAGAAATGCCCAACAACCAACACGGCTGGCTGAGGAACGATAAAGAAGGTAGAGGGGGCGAAGGCCGCTGTCGGACACTTAAGCGTGACTGGCCCAGTGTTCCACCGCACCGATCCTTCTTCACGTACGCGAACGTGCCCGCAGACTGCGCCTCGAACATCTGCTGGGACGGCACCATCTTGTGCGCGACCATCTTGGCGACGACTTGGGTGGCCACGTCGTACTCCAGGTACGCGCGGTTCGGGTTGGGTATCAAGATGCCTTTGTAGCAGTTCCCCTCGTGGTCGGGTAGGTCCTGCAGCTTGATGCCCAGCTTCTCGGGGTCATCGTGGAGCACGTCTGCCACGAGCTGCGCGCGACTCAAGCCGACCATCGGCTTCACGACCGAGACGATGAACTCTGTCCCCTCGTCGACGGACGTCGGGAAGAACTGCCCGCGCTCGCCCGCCTCGGTTCGCTTGGCTTCCTCCCAGCAGTCGTGGATGTGCGAATCCTCGTCCTGCACGCCCAGCTGGACTACCTCCAAGGAGCCGAACTGGGTGAAGCCCTTGGAATACCTGTCGAAGCAGGCGGTGCAGGACGGCACCGTCGCGTCCCTCATCGCCTGCTCGGTGTCGGTGCAACCACACGCGCCGCACTCGAAAGCGGACGAGAACGCAGCCAACGAGAGCTGGGGTTGGGAGTGCACGTCGTCCCCACCGCCGCCGCCGTTGCCACTCTTCTTGCGCTTGCGGGCGGCTCCGACTGTCCTCGGCAACGGTGGTTGAGTGTCGGCCTTCTGGCCGCGCTTGCCCATGGCAAGGTCGCTAGAGAAAGTGACGGTGCGTCAGTGCTCACACTGGGCCCGTCGAACTACAAACAGGAGTGTGCTCGAATCCTGTCGCGAATTTGAGCCAAAATGGCACTGTGGGGCAACTGAGGGTGAATGGGGATCACAACATGGGCCGACCAATGGGGAGGGCGGCGGTCGCCTGTCTGGAACGGCCACTACAGCGCCACCGACCGCACAGCGAGAACCCCAGGTCTCGTCGGACGGCCCATCGATGCGACGCAGGGCGGGGAGGCGGGAGAACGGCGAGCGATGGGATAAACACAGAGTGGCCGTTTGTTAGCGGAACTCCTTATAGGGCAACGAGCTGTGCGGGAGGTGCGCCACCTTGCACGCGGCCTCACATGTGAGCCATGTCATTGGAACATTCGGTGGAACTATATAAGGACAGTATTCCCCTTCGGGAGCGGGGGCGCTCCTCCGCCTACCCCCGCCCCCCTGGGTCTGGACGAAGGGCCCCACCAGATGTAATGGGGTAGTTGGTGGCCCAATATGGCTCCGAGAGGGGCCCCGATGGCCAGAGATGGTCTCCAGAGGATCGAGCGCGATAGCCCACGATTGCTCCAGGTACTTTCGAAATTGTCCCCAAGAGGCCCAATGCCATTCCAAATGTGGCTCCAACTAGGCACGGGGCCACCCAAGAGATACACAGAACGGGCAAAAGGTCGTACAGAAGACCAGGTGATACTCGATGGTTCGACTCCGATCGACTCAGGTGGCTTCGAGATGGCCCCAATAAAACCCAGGATGACACTTGAGAGGCACAAGGAAGCGCGCAGGGCGGCTCCAAGGGCGTCCAGGAGCGCCCTGAGATCACCCCAAAGTAGCCCCCAATAGTGGGTCATTCGAGCCCTACTGTTGAGGGGGAGGAAGCACAACTCCTGGTTTGATCGGCTGTCCCCGAGTGAACCCCAGAGCCCTTGACATTGCGCCGAGAGGACACCAATATGGCCCCAAGAGAACCACGAGAGAATGCACAAGACGTCCGTACTAAAAATTTATTTGTTCCAAGAGGCTATCCGAGACTTGCTTCGACCTTTGATGCCCATCTTATTAGCTATGCGATGGGCAAGATAGCAACTCGCCCATGCAACTCACTTGGGCATCGTATCTGGATGGGTTGGCGGGGGCGCCCAAAGCTGGTAGGGAGGGTGCCCAACGCGCGCATGACACCAGCCTGGTCCTCAACCGCCTCCTCTCCGCCGTTCCTTCAGTTAACCCTCCTCGACTCCCAAGTCGGTTCCTTACCACCGATCCCCGCTCATCCTTCCGCCCTTCGACCTCCTCCCTCCACCTCTCCTAGCCTCACCCCCTCATCTCCCCCCGCACCCTCTTCCAGCGCGAGCGCAGTGCACGCGCGGGGCGCGGGCCTGCTGCGACCGCCGCGCGGACGTCGCCCACGGTGGCGGCGCCCGCGTGGCGAGGCAGGCGCGGGCGGGCAAGACAGACGCAAGCGGAGGATGACGACGACGCCGATTGTGACGACGCTACCACGCTCGAGGACGACCCGAGAGGAGGTTGCGAGGACCTAGCGAAGGACGGAATGGACTAACGAGTTGTGCAAGTGCCGATAAGAGGGAACTCAGTAAGGTGGAGGGGAGAGGACAGTAAATTACTATATGACGAAGCGGTGGAAGAGGGGGAGCAGGCGGAGGCACGTTCAACCACACAAACATGGTAGCAAAGCGGCGAACGGATGAGGCGAACGTGAGGAAGAACTTCACTAAATGGAGGAGGTGGAGGAGGGAGGGAAGAGGACGGGTGATGAGGATCGGCAAGATGAGTGGCGGTGGAGGGCGAGAAAGAGGGGGCAGGGGGGGACGGGGAAGGGAATCGCGAGAAGGAAGGAGGGGGGCGGGCTTGTAATGGAGGACGGTTGGTTTTCAGCGGCATCTAGCCGCGACCCCTCGACGGCCAGCACGGTCGCGCCAGGAGGCGTCGCACGAGTCAGGCGGCCACTCGACCGCACACCCCAGACTGCGTCAAGCGACGCTCGAAGCAAGAAATTGTTCACACTTGCGCGCCGATGGTGCGCCAGCAACGAAGATGCACGCGAAAATCCACATGCGAGGACTCACATAAAAGGGCGCAGCTGCCTCATCATAACATTCATCCCGCCCCCTTCCCTCATCATTGGCGTGGTCATTGACCCCCCCGTCATCATCGTCGTCCCCCTCTCTGTCATCATTGAGGCGCTGCTGCCTTGGCAACTGCACCAGCGACTCGCTATTGCTCCGTGCCCTCGGGGTCACGCACAACCTGGCTGGCAGATGCAAGTTGGTGGCCGAGCTGGTCAAACACGCAGCCATGCGAATCGTCGGCCACGTCAATCCAGCCCCGTCTCTCAAGCGCCAGGGCGGCCTCACTCTCGCTGTAACCGCTCGGGGCTGGTCCGCCAAAACTTGGCTTCAAGATCCAACGACGCTTGCTCTGAGAAGGCACGATTTGCCCGAACGCTGGGTCCGAGCTTTTCGCAGGCGTCTCCGAGGCGGGCGAAGTGACACCAAACTTTGCGGGCGTCTTCGCACCAACGCTGCTGTCGAGACGGCTGGCATGCTCGTCTGACATCGGCAGATCTGCCTGAGCCCCCCTCTTCCTCTGAGGGCTATCCTCAACTAAAACGCAAACTGCATGTGTGTCGGCCTCTGGGACCGCACGCTTCGGCGCCGACGGCTCTGGCGGCGTGTTGGCCACCGCACTCGCCGCGGCGCCCGCGGCAACCTCGGCGCAAGATGCCCCCGGCGGTCCCCCCTCAGGGTCGCCATCGGCAGCGCCCGAGCCACGCCTCGGAGGAGCAATCCACCCAGAAGGCGCCAGTTGGCCAAGGTGCGGCCGAACTTCCTCGGCGCCCTCGTCAGCTGGCAGGCAGGCCCGCGGCGCAACGCCGTTCTCGGCGTCATAGCACGCTTGCTCTGCTCGCCAGCCCGAGTCGAAATGTGACAGCTCCTGGGCGCTCAAAGACAAAGGGGGCTTAAAATTGTTGTGCTCATCCTCTGGCCCAGCCTGCTTGTCGCCGTCTGTCTCCTGACGGTGGCCCTCCGAGCAAACAGAAAAAACTTCGGTCGGCGCGGGCGGGTCGGAGTACTGAGGTCCAATGATGAGGATAGTACAAGGGATCGTTGCCTCGACCCGTTGCTCGTAGCTCGTGGGTTTGGTGGGGTCTGTGACAACTAGGTCGAGGCCCCCCGTCAACTGGAACTCCATTGGCGCCAGCACAGTTCACCTGACAATGGTACGCCTTCGAAATGCGCGCGCGCTACAACTAGCTTGGACCAGATGGCGGCTCTGACCACGAGGATAGAATGCACATGACAGGGGCAACGCGTAATTGTGGCGGTGCGTTTTGCAGTGAATGAGCAGCGCCGAGTGGTGATGGTATTTGATTTCTGTAGAATTGCATGCGTTAGCCAGCGTGGGCCCCAAAGGGCCCATTATTGCAACAGGCGCGGTGCAGTATACGTGGTGCTGTGTATGCGATGCAACCGTGGAATGCAAACTTTGCGGTGCAATTCAACGTGCTGCTATAGATGAGATGCAACCTATGTGTTCCAGTAAGTGCAGCGCCTTTGTGGTGCAATGTATGCCGTGCGACCTACGTAGTGCAATATACGCGGTACAACCTATGTGGTACAATGTATGCGGTGCATCCCACGTAATGCAGCTTATGCTGTGCACTCTACGTGGTTCAGTGTATGATATGCACCCGATGAAATGCAATATTTGCGGTACGTTCTATATGGTAATAATGTATGCCATGCATCCTGTGCGTTGCAGCTCATGCTTTGCACTCTGCGGTGCAATGTAGGCGTTGCAGCCTACGTGATGCAATATGTGCGCGGTGTGCGTACGAGAGGCAACCTGTGTGTTGCAATGCGTGTGGTGCAGTCTGTGTGGTGCCATCTGTGCGATGCAGCCTATGCAATGCAGTCTACGCGGTGCCATCTACGTGGTGCAATGCTCGCGACGCAACCTATGAAATGCAACCTACGCGTGGTGCAATGCACGCGGCGCAACCCATGTAGTGCAACCCGTTGGGTGCAGCATGCGCGGTGCAGTGTAAGTGGTGCAACATGCGTGACGCAGCCGACGCGGTGCAGTCTGTGCGGTGCAATGCATGCGACGCAGACCGCGCTATGCAATATACGCGGTGCAATGCGTGCGATGCGGCGGGCGGCGGCGGGCGGCGACGGGCGGCGCGGGCGGCGACGGGCGGAGATGGCGGCGACTGGCGGCGACGGTGGCGGGCGGCGGCGGGCTGCGACGGGCGGCGCGGGCGGCGACGGGCGGGGGCGGCGGCGGCGGGTGGCGGCGGCGACGGGCGGCGACGGGCTGCGACGGGCGGCGCGGCTGCGATTTTGCTGCGATGACCCCGAGGCGACGGCGGCGGGCGGCGACGGACGGCGCGGGCGGCGACAGGCGGCGGGGCTGCGACGGGCGGCGACGGCGGCGGGCGGCGGCGGGCGGCGACGGACAGCGCGAGCAGCTACGGGCGGGGATGGCGGCTGCGGGCGGCGGCGGCGACGGGCGGCGACGGGCGGCGGCGGGCGGCGCGGCCGCGATTTTGCTGGGGGGCGGGGGGCGAGATGGCCAACGCAAACACGAACCCCTACATTCAAGTACTTGCCCGAACAAGAATTCGGGCGGCGGCGGCGCGCGGCGCTGCAGGCGGGCGCAGCGATTGCGCAGACAGCGGTGGCACGATTCCCCTTGGCGAAGGAGACGGGGCGGCGCTCGCCCCAATAGCGGCGCGCGTTGCGCCGCTGCCCCTGGGGCGATGCGCCGCGGGCCCGCGCGCTTCCACGCGCGGCGCGCTTGCGCGCGCCCCCCGAGCTCTGAGCGCCACGGCTGCAGCGCAGCGCCCTGCCCATGCCCGATGGAAAAAAACGCCCGTCGCCCTGGCAGCGCGCGCCAATCCTTGCCGCGCGCCGCAATTCCGACGCCGCGCTGGCGCGCGCCACCGCCCCCCCCCCCTCGCCCCGCCCTTTTCTGCCCCGCCGCCGCCGCCGCGCGCGCTGGCGTCGAACCGCGAAGCCCAGCCCAGCGCCGAACGCCGCTGGCGTTGGCCCCTGCCACCACCACGCACGCACGCGCGCGCATATATGCGCCACGCCCAAGGACCGCAGCGCTGCGCGCCCGTCAGTGGCGCCCGCCGCGCCAACCACCATGCAATAATGTTGCACTTGCGTGCCCGCTCCCTTCCACTGCTCGCTGACCCAGCAGCGCCAGATCTCCGAACTCGGCGCCCGCCGCAACGGGCCACCACTGCGCGCGCGGGCCATGCAGTCCGAGAGCGCGGCGCCTGGAGGCAGGAGCAGATGCCGAAATGCGTTGGCCGCGAAGCGGGCGCGAACTTCGACTTCGAATCAGCGGAACACGCCGCGCCCGAAACTTCGCGCATTGCGTCGCCCAGCGTCGCGACCTGCTGACCCGCCGCACGCGCGCCTGCATCCATGGCCATGAACCGCGGGCCCCGCCCGCTTGCGAACACCGCGCTCTGCGACTTGGGGGGGGGGGGGGGAGGGCAAACACCGCGCCTGCAATTGCTTCGGCCCCGCGCGATCGGCGCGCGCGCGGCCAAGAGCCCCGCGCCCCCATGCCGCAGGCGCAGGCCAGCTGCTGAAGACCCCGTGCCGTGGGACGCGGGCGCAGATCCCAACGCCGCGGGCGAGCGCGCCCGCGCTCGCGGCCGAACGCGGGCCCGACCCCTCAGGCCCTGGCATTCAGTTGCGAATGCACCAGCACTCCGCGGAATCGCCAGCGGGCGGGGGGTAGACGCGAGGCGCGACAAGCCGCGGGCGACACCCGCGCCGAAGCGAAGCGGACCGACGATTGCCAGGAGCCCGACGCGCCAGGCCAATGGCAAAATCCACAGTGCCACTTGCGATGGGCCCCCTGCAGCTCGAATGCGCGAGCCCCCCAGCGCGGTGACCCTGGTGGAACGCAGCTGCGCCCGAGTCTCGCGCCCGCTGCGCGCGCGACGCCCAGCGCCGCGCGGCCGAAGCCGCGGCCGCGGGCCTGCCCCCCGCGCGTTCGGATCCCGATGCGCCCAGGCGAGGGTCCGTCGGCCCGCGTCGCCCCCCCTCGCCCGCGGGGCAGGCACTTGCGCGGCGCGGGCAGGGGGCAAGATCAGCACGGGGAGACGTGCGACTCGCAGCGCCAACCAAGTAGCCGAGTCACATCGCCAACTGCAGCGGGCCACGATCGCGCACGCAGCGGCAGCGGCGCCGACCTCCGCGACCGACGCCCCAATCGTGCGCGCCCGCGACCGCGCGCTTTGTGCAGTCGGCCGCTAAGCCAAACGCCCCACATCGCCAGCCACGGGAACCGTTGCTCAGCCGCGCGCCAGGCGACGGGGCCAACCCCGCGCCGCGCGCGCCGCCGCCGCCCCTTCCACCGCGGCCGCCAGCTTGCCCGAAGCAAAACGCCCTTCTGCAAGCGCCCTGTTGAAACTTGGCATCGGGCACCAGGCAGCGGGTGTTTGAGCGGGCCCAGCGGTTCTCTTGCGAGCTGGCGCGGCACGGGCTGTTGCCCCGCAGCGCCCCCCCCCCCCGTCTTGCCGCATCCTCGCCCGCCCGCCCGCCCCGCGCGCGCGCCACCGCCGTTCGCGCGCGCGCAACGCACGCGCGTGCGCGCGCGTGCCCCGCCACCACCACCACCGTCACCCCGCCCATCCACCGCTGCCGCCGCCGTCGGCGCCACCGCGCCAGATGGTGCCGCGCCCAGCGGCGTCGCTGCTTGCATTGGGGGCGCCGTCGGGGCCACAGGGGAAGCGCCCCTACAAGAGGGGCGCATGTAGCCGAGCGCAGCGACGCTGGCGAGTGGAAAGGAAGGTGCGCTCTCGCGCCGCTTGCCCACCGCGGCGCACGGCGAAGGCCCGACGCCGCAGCGCGCGACCAGCAGCCCGCGCTGTCGCCGTTAGGCCCGCAGCGCGCCTGGCAGACAATGGTGAACGCAGCCTGCCGCAATGCAGAAGGCGAGTGAAATTGCGAATGGCCCCCTGCGCGCTGGGGGGGGGGGGGCGGCAAATGCCATCGCGCGCACATGCCCAACCTTTCGAACGGCGAAATTCTCCCAGGCGCGACAGGCCACGGTTGAGCGGGGTGTGTGCATTTTCGATAAAACCCACCTGAAAACGCAGGTTTCACCGCGCCTGGTAAAAACGAAAATTCTCGCATCGCCAGCCCACGCCACTGCGCCCGCGCGCGCCAGTAGAATACGATGGCGGGCATCGCGCGCCCGCTGCCCCAGCGCGAACTTAGCGCGGGCGCCCCCCAGCCCGCGGGCTGCCCCGACCCGCGGCATACCCGCCCGCGGGAGGGCGGGGGGCGGGGCGGGCCACTGAATACCCGCGGCCGCCGAGGTACCTCCCAAAGTACATCCCGAAGTACATGCCGATTTTTTAGCCGCGCGCTTGAACATCGCACTGGCGCGGCAAAGTACATGCGCAAGTACCCTCCGAAATTGAAGTACCTGCGCAAGTACCTACAAAGGTACCTGCCAAAGTACCGTCGCATTGGAAAAGTACATCCCAAAGTACCTACGCAGGTACCGCCGGATTGAAAAAGTACCTACCGAAGTACCGTCGGACGGGAAAAGTACCTCCCGAAGTACCGTCGGGCGAAAAATGTACCTCCCAAAGTACCGTCGGGCGAAAAAAGTACCTTCCTAAGTACCTACGTACCTCCCGAAGTACCTCCTCAGGTACCTAAAGTACATACCGAAGTACCGTCGGATTGGAAAAGTACCTCCCAAAGTACCTACGCAGGTACCTACGCAAGTACCGTCGGATTGAAAAAGTACATACCGAAGTACCGTCGAGCTGGAAAAGTACATCCCAAAGTACCTACGCAGGTACCGTCGGATTGAAAAAGTACATACCGAAGTACCGTCGGACAGAAAAAGTATTTCCCTAAGTACCTACGTACCTCCCAGTACCTCCCAAAGTACCTCCCGAAGTACCTCGCCGAATCTAGATACCGAGCAGGGTGCATCCCGAAGTACCTACCGAAAATGTACCCGCA